ACAAAAAAGCCCATTTACCCAATTTCAAATACCCAATAAGTGGTCAAAATTTTTCAATTTGGCCAATTTTACACAAAAAAAAAAATATGCCAATTTCAAAATAGGGTCCAGAATGAAAAATGCAGACTTCCCCTGGCTTTTAAAAAAAACATTTTTTTTTGTTCATCAGTCCGTCCCCGGGCCCCCCTCTGATTTTTACTCTTGCTTTCTATTTAAAAATTTTTAAATCAAACAAAAAATAGAAGTTTTACTGTTATGCGATACTGCAATATTGTAATAACTGTAAAAAAAAATGTAAACCCCATTCTTTACTGGATATTAGAATGGTACTTGGAAATTTATTGGACAATGACATCATTTTTTTTTACTTTTGAACTTTGGGAAAAATCAAACTTTTCCCCCCTACTTTGAGCCCCATTTCAAGGTTTTTTTCCCATAGTAAAATCAATCAAAATCACCCCCTATTTTAAAATTTTTTTTTTTCTATCAAATAAACCCAAGAAAACGAAAATTCCCGTCAAAAATTTCCCTATATAAAAATTAAAAACAAAAAACCCGGGGGTTTTAAATCCAAAAAAACGGTCGTTTTTTTTTTTTTCTCAGCACTGCATGCGGGCAGGATGTTTTTTTTTGGTGCACACTGACCCACAAACCCTTTTCTCTCACATGTGGGCCAAACCAGCTTTCTCCTGCTTGATTTAAAGGGCCCCCCGGAATTTTTGAGTATATATACATCAAAAAACGGGTTTTTAAAAATGTATATATACTACCAAAAGGTAAAATGGTTAATGCCAGGGGGAACAACGACGGGTCCCCTGGACCTCTGTCACCCCAAAAAATTGCCCATAGAGCTCGTCCCTGGTGCCCCTTTTAAAATTTTTCCCTAAAAGGGGCCCCACAACATTGTCATTGCAAAAGCACAGCTGAAAAAGGGAAACTTTTTTTCCATCTCTTCTCCCCCTTCCTCTGAAGAAAATTTCTCAGTTTTTGGTCTATTGCTGTTGCAGATGATTTTGCAGCTCTTCAGGGAAAATTCCATTGTGTCCCCCCACCAACTCTTTCCAATCCTCCCCCACTAACCCCCCAAACCCCCCATGGACCCCCCCAAATACACAATAGTTTCCCAAAAAAATGGCTTTAGGTCCCCCGGGGGGTTACCCCCCAAACCCTTAAAAAACCCTTTTCTAAAATTTCCCTGGCCAAAATTTCCCCCAAAGAGATTTCCCAAGGTCCTGTTAGTCACTCCCTCCCAACCCTTTCCCCTATAAAAGTTTATGCAACTGGGATACTGAAGTGATTTTTTAAAAAAACTTTAAGGTAAACTGAGTGTCTGAGGTCCTTCAAAGCACTTTTGAAAACTGTTTTTGGGGGAAATTTTTTTGAAATTTGAAATGACTTGCTGGTAAAGGGGCCCTAAAAAGGAAAAGGGGGGTGGTTTTAGGAGGCAAAAACTTCATTTTTAAAAAAAACTCAACCCCCCTGCAATCCGCTCTGGCAAGTCTAAAGGGGATGGCAGGACCCATTGGTCTAATACCAGGGGGCATTTGGGGACTCCAATTTTTTTTTCCAGGATTTAAACCCTGTCTTTCATAGGTTTTGTGCCTTTGGCAGGGGTTTTTTTTCCTCCGGTGTAATGTGGGTCCTTTTTGGGTTTATTTTTTTCCCAAAAAACAGGCCTGTTTTGTCAAAATTTTAAACACGGGGTTGGGGATTTTAATTTTTCGTGTTTTATGTACTTCTTAAATTTCCCCTGACATTTTTTTCAGCCCCCTTTTTTGTCTAAAGGGCAGCCTCCCCATGCCTTACCCACACTGTGGATCCCATACGATTCTTAAATCTCTAAAACCCAAACCCTTTTTGCGGGCCCTTTTAAATTCACAAACCCTCCCCCAAGTTGTGGGCTTTTTTAAATTAAATTGTCATGAAAATGCCCTTTGCCTTCTCACATATTACTGACTGAGAAAAATCTTTTTCCTAAATTTTTGTTTTTCTTTTTTTAACCACAGCAACAAAAACCTCTCAAAACTTGAGAAATTTGCGACCCTCTTTTTTGGGAAAACATACTTGCCCTTTCGCAACAAAAGTTTCCTTTTTTGCCTTTCCTTTTGGGCCCAAAGATGTAGCGAGGGTTTTGATTGGGGTTTGTTGTACAACCTGGCCGGGCTCGGAGGCACACACCCCCAACTTTCATACTTTGTGATTATCTCTTTTTTTCCCAGTTAAATTGTAATTCTCACCCCTTTTCCCCACGGGGTTTGGCACTAGAACTTTCTTTGGGCCCAGGGTGGCTTTTTTTAGCAGTTACAAGCACTAAAAAAAACGGAAAATACAAAATGTATTCGCAGGTACCGTGGAAGGGGCCGGAGGGTTTTGTAAACAATGGCACACTAGCTGGAACCCCCGGGGGGCAGCTGATGCACCGCTCAACCGGGACGGACGGGTGGATCCCGTTTGGGACAATGTTTTTCCCTTTGAGTTTTTCCCCCGCGGGTTGGGCCCAAAATTTTTTTATACAAAAGGAAATTGTTAGGCAATTTTTACTTTTAAACGATCCCAAGGTTTGGTCGGGGGTTTCCACTGTATTGCAATTAGTAAATTTATTTCAGGGGAAAGGGTTTTTAACGGGAAATGATCATGTTTCTTTTAAAAGCTCCTATACGGGGGGTTTTCCCAGGAAAAATTAGGTTTAACTTAAGATTTATTAGAAAAATAGCTATAGGAGTTTTTATTTTCCAGTCATCTGAGAGAGTGTAAGTGTAAAATTAGGGGGGGGAATTACAGATAATAACTAAGTCATTTTGTTTTGGATGTGTTCATGTTACAAAAAAGAGAATGGGTGGTTTTCACATGCTATGTTGGGGTGGTTAGGGAGATAATATGTTTTTTTAAAGGAAGTTTTAAAAATGGTGGTTGAGTCTGTGTTTCTAGAGTTTTTCAGGCAGGGATTCCAGATTTAGGGCCCTTTTATGTACAGGGGGAAGGGTTTTTGTCATAGAGTTTTTTTGTGTTTTGGTTGTGACTGGGGGCCCTGTTGTCGGGGCCGGGAAATTAAGAAGCCCTCCCGGGCCCTACTATTAAATTTGGGCCCAGGGCCCCTTTGAGCTACGGGAAAGCGAAGGACCCCTTCCAGCTTTGGGGGGGGGGGGGGTCGGTTTTTGAGCCTTTTTAAGGTCTAATTAAATAACCCCCCGGGGGCATTTAGTTTTAAATTTAATGGGGGGAAAGTACAAAAGGGGAAAAACCAAAACCCATTTCCCAAACCCACCTTTTCTAACTATCTTGTTAAATCATGAATTTTAAAAAAATTTAAACCAAGACGCAAAATATTACTAATTAGGTTTTAAAAGTAGTGACATAAATGTACCTTTATACAGCATAACCACAAACAGCACTATTATTCCCTTTAAAAAATAAAGACCTTTATTGTTTTCATTTGCAACAGGGCAAAAGGGAAAAACCAAAATCATATAAACCAAAAAAGGTAAAGAAATTGTTTATATTCACGGGGGGCCCCTTCTTAAAATAAAATTTTTTTTTTGGATTTCTTTATTGGCAAAATCATAAATTTTATTCAAAAAATCAATATTTCTTTTTAAATCAGACCCCAATGGTCAACAAGGCTGGGGGACAACCAATTTGTTTTGGGCTCATTGTTAAAGGGGAGCTGGTTTTTCACTCTTTTCAAAACAAAAATAAACGTTCCCCCTTTTCCCACAGTTAGTGGGCTGGAAGTTTTAGGAAAAAGGCGATACACTATTTTAAAACTTTGGGGAAAGGGTTTCTGAGAAAACCGGCATTTCTTAAATTTTTTCAAAGGGGCCCTGGGGGCGCACTTTTTTCAGGTGGAGTTTTATTTGATTCTTTAACCCAAAAAATAAATATTTCCTTCAAAAAAATGTGTCTTGAACATTCTGGAAAGGGGGTTGCTGCAACTTCAATGCAGTTTCCCAAAATTTCGGGCATCTGGCATAGTAGAAATTTTGAACAAAAACCAAAACCCTTGTCATTGAGTTTTCTGGTAGATTTATTTTTTTTTCACCTTTTTCTGTAATCAGTGAATCCAGAATGAGAAGTATGAAGCTGTCTTAAAAATTTTCCCTTTTGGTAGAAAACACAATTTCTTTGTCGGGCTTTTCCCAAAATTGCGTTTCCTCTTCCTTGCCCGGGCTGATGTTTCACCCCCGGTAACTTTTTGTCTTTTAAACCACCATTTTTTACTTTTCTTTCCAAACATTTAAAAAAGCTTCATCATTGCGAAGTGACCCTTAAAAATTTTACCCCCAAAACCTGCATAGGGGTTTTTTGCACAAGTAGCCATTTCAATTTCAATTTTTGGGAATTTGTCTGTTTAATGGCATTTAACCGTTCAGTATAACCGGGCCCCAAACCAAAAGAGTAAGGCCAAATTTAAAATCTTCCAAAATTTTGATGCAAAACTGGCTGGGTTCGCTCTTTTTTAGTTTGGGTGTTTTGGTCTTCATCCTTTTGCCCATTTGGAGCAAAGCCCATCTTTCAAAGCAAGTTTTGCCCTCATGCTGCCTGACCCCCCTTTTTGTTTTATCTGGGTTTGATGAAAAACTCCATGAATGGTTTTAAATTGAGTTTTTACCCCCACCGAGCATTGAAAAAGAGAAAAAATTAAAGAGTGCTTGTTAAAAAGTCCAAAAAAAAAAACTTTCAGCGACACAACATTTTTCAGCCCCGACCCAAGAAAAATTAAAGAGAATGGGGCTGAGCAGGGCACATATTCAGCAAGTGGGTTGGGTTTTCTTGATAAAGGGCTTGGGAATCCCTTTTTAATTTTTCCCGACATGTTACTTTTCATTGTAGCCTGGCCCGGCCCCCCATAATAGAGGGGATTTATGTTTTAAAAACAGAGTATCCAGTAAATAAAATTCAACATTGTTTCTCCATCATGGCCTGAAAGAGGGGGAAAGAAATTTTTTTAAAGCGGGTCAAAAAGGCTTACCACTGGAGTCGACCAAAACGAACAATGAATGTCAATTTATCTGAAAGTGAAAATATCTGGTGTTTAACTACAAATTATTGCAAAGTTTTTTTCGTTTTTACAGCTGCTATGATGTTAAATTTAGGGGCCCCTTTTAAATCAAACAGTTCAATAAATTTTTGCCCAATTTGTAGGACATGTAAGATAGAGTGCCTCTTCCTGCATTCCCAAGGGGGGACACATGATTTTCAAAAAAATGGATCGAAAATTTTGCTAACATTTTTTATGATCCCCAGGGAAATTTTCCATTTTTTTCCCCAACCCAAAAACCCTCATTTTTCTCCACGGAAAGCAAGTCCTCTTTGAGATAAGAATTTTACAACCCCGCAAAAAAACTCTTTTTAGAAATTTTTTCTCCAATAAGGCGCTCTTTTTTTTGTTTGATTTTTTCCCCAAAGAGAATCCAATTGCCTTTTTTCTTTTGCACGAAATACACTGGCTTAAAAAGCCGCTCCCGTTAGTTTGGGGCTGGTTTTCATGTTTTCCCCAAAACGCCTTGGGGAATTTTTTCCCGTCATTGAAACCCCGTTTGAAGGGGATTTTCTTTGGAGAAAATAGCTTTTCATGCTGAACAGTACACTTTTCCTGAGCTTTCGAGGAAAACCCTCCATGATTTTTTTTCAGAGGGTTTTTGAATTTGCAAGCTCCTATAAAAAATTTGTGACTTTAAACAAGACGGGCTTTTCCCTCAAACTTTAAAACCTTGCTGATTTCCTAAAGCCCCTGTTCGAAATTTTACTGAAGTTTTTCCGCAATTTTAAAGCATTACGTAAGGAAAATTTGGGGTTACATTTGGCCATTTGGGCGGATCTTTTTTAAAACAAAAACCTGTGGATGAAAGGTCCGTTTTTAGCATTGGGAAAGGGGACACAAAAGAAGTAATGCGGGCTGAGAAAAAAGGAGGGGGGGCTTCCCGTATGATCTGACGTATTGCAGATTCAACTGTTCTGGGGAAAATCCCGAAACTTTTTTTTCGGAGCATGTTTGTGATCTTTTTTCTTTCAGCTTTCCCAAAATCTTTCTTTTTTCTGTTTTTCTTCTTGAAAAATTTTTTTTGTGGACCCACTCCCCATAAGAACGTCCAAAATCACTTCACGAATGCCCATAATGAGGGTGTATCACTGTCTGTTTTATGCAAATAAAAATTTTTTTATTATCAATTTTTATTAATTTTTTTAAATTAAATTTTAAATTTTTTTTTTCTGTCCCAAAAAGGGGGGGTATGGCCCTTGTGCCCCCCCCTTTTCCCCTGGCGTGCAAACTAAAAAAATTTAAAACGTTACCGAAAGGGAGTCATTTTACAGAACTTTTACCCTTAAAATTTGGTTTTGGGGTTTGGGCTAAAAAAGGAATTTTTTTACTAAAATTTAAACCCCCCTTTTATCTCCAATTTACTTAAACAGAAACATTTCTGAGTCCAAGAACACTGCACAATGGTTTTTTATATTAAACCCTTTTTTATAACTAAACTAATTATGTTTTTCATTTATTTTATGGCCCCCACCATAGATAAAGGGCATGAAATTAAAGAATGCAGGGACAATTTTTTAGTTTCACCCAAAAAAGATTTTTTTGATGTGGTTACGTGTTTCTGGGGGAAAAATTAGTAAATTAAATTTATGTTTTCATCCCCTTCCCTTTCAAAATTTAAAACTTTAAACATTTTTTGACGGAAGTGATGTAAACATCAATCAATTTAGATCTGTTTTTTGGGAAAAGATAAAGACTTAAAGACAGGGGCCCAAAATGCTTTTAAAAACCCCAAAAAAGGAAGTAGTTTTGCAATTTTTTAGGCTTTTTTTATATATTTTTACCCAAAAAGCGTCTTTCGGGTCCCCTGCGTCTTTCCCGGTCAAGTAAACCAAAAGGTACCTCCCTTAAAATTTTGAAAGGGGAAACAAAAAATTTATTCCCATAAAACCAATGTCTATCAAAAACACTTCAAGGTTTAAACTTCACAGTACAAGTCTAATAAATGGGAATTAAAATACCCGGGGGAAATTTGGGGAGGAAAAATCCTATTTAAATCACCCATTAGCGGGGAAAAAAACATCTGTTCGATGTAAACAAAGGCGTGTTGAGTGTTCCATCTTTTGGTTTTGGTTTTTTTTATTTTTATTTTATTTTTTTCATTATTTTTGTTTGTTTTGATTAATTTTTTTAAAAAAAAATTTTACCCCCTTTCCCAAAAACTTGGGAAATTTTTGGGAGGGACCCCTTTGCACTTTGGCCCCCATGTGCGCCCGTTTTTTGGATGAGCCCCCCCCAACCCCTTGGAAACCCCTTGGGGGCCCCAGGCCCAAAAGCCTAGTTTGCCCATGCGGGAATCTGGGCCCCCGCCCCGTTGAAAATATCAAGAAAGTGGGTTTAGTTTTGGGTTTAAAAATATTTTTTAATTTTTGGTTCTGAAAAAGTAGGTTGGCAGTAGTAAGTGTTTTAATGTTTTGTAAAAGTGAGTTTAAATTTAGGGCTTTGAAGGAGTGGGGGGGGTTGTTGTCCCAGCACTGGTTTTGTGAAAATTCTTTCTACAGTTTTTTGTTGGGGTTTAATTTTGGGCTTTAGGGGGGTTTCTGCTGGGTTATCGCCAGGCACAAAAAAGCAAAAGGTGAGATTTGGGACAGATAGTGAATTTGTAAATTTTGGGGGTAGGGGGAAAGAGAAAGGGGAAAAAAAGCAGTCCCGACCATAAAAGGGGTTTCACCAAGAGAAAGGGGAAGCAACCCAAAATTTTTATCAACCCCCTAATTAAAAAAATAATAATAAAAATTTAAAGTTTCAAGCAAGCCCCCTAGTATTTCCCCATCCAACCAGATTTTTTAGTTTTCTTTGCTTTGGGTTTTTTCTTTTTAAAAAATTTTTTGTAGGGCCTATATTTTTGGGTTTAATTTAAACCCCTTTTAGGGTCCAAGGCCCAAAAACTGGGGTCACGCCCCCAGTGTCCAAGATATTTTTAAAAAAAAAAAAATTTTTTATTTTTTTTTATGAAAAACGTAGAGAATCTTTTTTGTGAAAGGGAATAAAACAAAAAAATACGAAAAAATTTGGGGGGAAAATTGACGAAATTATTTCTCTCGCGAATTTTGATGTGCCCGCGAAATTTACGAATCCCGGGGAATTTTTCCGACTTTTTGACTCCCATTTAGGGCCCCCCAATTACATTAATTTCCCAAACAAACCAAATTTTTTTGCATTTCACTAGTATTACTTCCCATTCTATCGATTGAGCACAAGAAATCGCCAATTTAACTGTTTTTAACTACAAAAAATGATCGGAAATTGTTTTAATTTTGGGCCCAAATTTTAAAAAAAAGTTTAAAATATTCCAATTTAAAATGGGGGCCAGAATGAACAATTTTTGGCATTCCCGGCATAAACTAACATTTCCTCTGTTAAATTTGGGTTTGTTTTTAGGCTTTACAAATAAATTCCAAATTTTTATTTTTTTTTTTCAATAATGAAATTTTTTTATTCACACCAAAAAAAAGAAGATTTTATTTTTTATGCAATATGTAATAATTGAAAAATCATCACCAATTTGGGAAATGTATATTAACCACCAGCTGATGTTATTAGACGTGGGGCTTTTGTTTACTCTTAAATAGGGAAAAAAAAAAAAAATTCATTTCCGCTACTTTGAGCTCGTTTCAAACCATTTCCAATCTAAAACCAATCAAAATCATCTTTATTTTTTAATATTCTTCCATTCTACAAATGAACCAAGAAATCGCAAAAACAACTAAAAAAACATACGAAAAAACTCAAAGTTGTGTTTTAATCGAAAAAACATGATTTAATTTTTTTTCTTATTATGGGACAGTGTCTGCGGATCTGTTTTATGTGGGCACACATACCACATAAAGATTTTTCATATCTAGGGCCCAAAAGTACCACTCACAGTTTTTTCAGGTGAGCTGGTCTGGCGTAGATCACGTTTTTGGACCTGAACGTAAAGCGAAATCTACGGGGCGGACCCTGAAACGTTAAACAACTGGGGTAGTTAAATCGTCTATCAGCTATGAGACACTGACAGCAGAGGGGTTAAGGTAACACTCTGTAAACAGGCATCTTTACAGACCAATAAAAATCCAAAGCTTCCTCTTAAGCAAGATTAATTAAAATTTAAGGTTTGAAGCAGATTGGATAAGGCATTTACAAATTAACCCGTAAATGGTCCAAACGTATACATGTATATACGTTCTTACTGCTAGTGCCCCAAACGTAAATACACGTTTTATTTTTCCTGCCTCCAAATTTGGCAGGACTGGCCTGAGATGCCTTGTCAGCATAGAATGGGTCTTAACAGTCGGTGTGCACCATATTAAAAAAATCTGGGACCACTTAGTACCTTGTGGGAGTGCCAGTTATATTGAGCGCCAGCTGGAGCAAACAGTGGGACAAACACCAAGGATTCACTGATGTAATGTCACATTAATACACCCCTTTTACGAGGAAAGTGATGTTAACCCCAAGTTTAGGGTCTGTCTATTTCTATCTCTGTCTGTCTATCTGTCTGTCTCTGTCTATCTGTCTCACAGGTACACACAAATAAAATTTATACTAGGGGAAATTACCAGGATAACCTAAAAATCTGAGTGCAATAGTGTCATTGTAGATATATCAGAGAATACGTTGGTTCACATGGCTCCTCTAGACAAACAGATGAGACAACAAAGTGGAAAGAGACAAGCAGGACAGAGAAAAAGACAGAGACACAAAATAATAAGAATAAAGCCTCATCAAATGTCATCCCTTGTCTTTGACCCTCACTGGTGCCCTCAATTATTCATATCTGATCTTATCACTGATCCCAGTCATTAACACTCTTACACATTGCCTTCAAGTGAATTTCTTCCTTTCTTCCTCCTCCTCCTCCATCCCTCTTCCTTCTTCTTGTTCTTACTCCCGGATCCAAAACCATTGCTGAACTATTAAAAAATTTTGTATATATTCCTAAAAATGTAAATACCAAGGCAGTGTGTAAATGTCCACCTTCAATGTTTT